GCGGGCGCTGTCAGTACCAGATCCAGACCGGTCCTCGCCGCGGCTTCGTTTGCGGTAAGATCGGTCACTCCACTCCCCGCTGTTTTCGTCGCCTGGACGACCTCTTTCGTCAGCGCTTCGGCCCGTCGCCAGACCTCCCGGACTGGCACAGCATGCTTAGACGTAGTATTCCGATTTTTGACCTGGACATTGATGCCATTGTTTCTGCTCTGCATGTGATGTATGCTGATGACTCTAGTGTGCTTCCAGCTTATTACTCACTGTTGCCTAGTGTAGGTGTGCCTAGTGTAGCCTCCCCTACTGCGTCAGGCGTAGGATCCTCTGCTTTGTGTAGTCTTGGTGCTTCCGCCGTCGTTCCGTCGCCAGACGCCTCTGCTTCGCTTTCCTTCACCTTGGACTCTGGCGCTTCTCGGTGCTTCTTCCGCGACTCCACCACCCTGACGCCGCTTCCTGTTCCTGCTGCCGTTTCTTTTGCTGACCCCTCCGGCGGTCCGGTAGTCGCCTGCAGTTCCACCACCCTTCCCTGTCCGGCGGTTCCTTCGGGCTCTCTTAGAGGTCTGCATATCCCCTCGTTCTCCAGGAACCTAGTTGGTGTCGGCTGCCTCCAGGACCTTGGCGTCACCACTACGTTCCCTGGTCACGAGCGGTATGCTGTCTGTACCGAGGCCGCCACTGGTGCCCCCCTGTCCACGTTCCCCCGGGACCCCGTGTCCGGCCTGTTCACTCTGGACACCGTGACCCCCCCGGCTGGAGCGCTCACCCAGGTTGCTGCTGCCTGCTCCTGTCGGTCCCTCACTCACCCGACCCTCCTTTGGCACCACCGCCTAGGTCACCCTGCGCTCCCGCGTCTGCGTCACATGTCCCAGCACGGTCTTGTCCTTGGTCTCCCAGGTTCTCTCCCCGCGTTTCCCTCCTCCCCAACCCCACCTTGCACGCCCTGCGTCGAGGGTTGGCTTCGCCGTGCCCCTCACTCCTCCTCGTTTCCCCCTACCGCCACGCCGCTGCAGACCCTGCACCTGGACGTCTGGGGCCCCGCCCTCACCCCTGGGCCGCGTCGAGAGCGCTACTTCCTTGTGCTCGTCGACGACTTCACTCGTTACACCACAGTCTTTCCCCTGGAGCGCAAGGCCGACGTGCCTGGCGCTCTCATCCCCTGGCTTGTCTCTGCGCGTGTCCACCGCGGTCTCCCTGTCTTGCGTCTTCACTCAGACCGTGGTGGTGAGTTTGCCTCAGGTGTCCTTGGTCGCTTTTGTCGTGCGGAGGGCATCACCCAGACGTTCACCCTACCGGACTCCCCACAGCAGAATGGGGTCGCTGAGCGACGCATCGGTTTGGTCATGGAGGTGGCTCGCACCTCCATGATCCATGCCGGTGCACCCCATTTTCTGTGGCCGTTCGCTGTGCGCTACGCTTCTCACCAGCTTAACTTGTGGCCGCATCCTCAGCAGCCGCAGGTTTCGCCGACCCGTCTGTGGACTGGGTCTCCTGGTGATGCGTCTGCGTTCCACGTCTGGGGCTGCCTTGCTCACGTTCGTGCCTCCGTCACGGACAAGCTCACCGCCCGCACTCTTCCCTGCGTCTTCCTCGGTTTTCCCCTTGACGCGTCCGACTGGCACTTTTACCACCCGCCGTCTCACCGCTTCTTTCACTCTCGTAACGTCACCTTTGACGAGTCCGTCCCCTACTACCGTCGCTTCCCCCACCGTGGTCCCCCGGTTACCCCCCCCCCCGTTCCAGGCCACCCCTTCCCTGGTAGTCCCTGCCCCTCCTCCTCCTCCTCCCCGTCCCGCCCCCTCTGGTGTGTCCCATGTCACCCCCCTTCCGTCGGTGGACCCGATTGAGGAGTCTTTTGACTCTGGTGGCCCTCCTGTGCAGTCCTCCCCAGCTGCCCCTCCCCCGGTGTCCCCTCCCCAGTCCCCTCCTCCACCGCCTCTGCCGCCTCTGCAGCCGTCGTTGTCGCTGCCGCCGCCGCCACTGCCGCCACTGCCGCCACTGCCGCCGCCGTCGCAGCACCCGTTCGCTGACTCTGGGGGAGCTCGTCCCGGTAGCCCTGGGGGTGGTCCCTCTGGGGGTGCTGGTGTGGAGAGTGCCGGTGGTAGCCGAGGAGCAGCTTGCGGTCCCGGTGTCGCCGTTGTGCCGCCGCAGCAGCAGTCCCCGCCGGTGTCGGCCCTTCGCCTGCTCGGCCTTCCGTCCCCCGACCCTCCGTCGGTTCCTCCCGGGCCGTCTCCTCCTCTTCCAGTCTACGGCCCTGCCTTCCCTCCGCCGGACTCGTCCCCGGCCCGTCTCCCCCCTCGTTCCCCTCCTGTGTCCCCTCCCCTGTCTCCTGACCCGACTCCTCCGTCGCACGTCTGGTCTCACCGTCCCTCCCGTGCTCGTCCTGCCTCGCCTGTCTTGCGCTCTCACCCTATGTTGCTTCGTTCCCACGCGTCTCGTCCTCCCCTTCTGCCGTCGCCTCCTCCGTCCTCCCTTGTTGTTGCACCCCCCCCGCTGTCTGACTACCTTCGTGCCGCTCGTCCCCTTGTTCCTCGGGTCCTTGCCTCTCTCGTTACCGACCCGTCTGTTCCGACCTCGTGCCTCGACGCTCTTGTCGCTGCTGTCGCTGACTTCGCCTCTACCCGCCGCCTTGACTACGCCACCGCTCTGGTCTCTGACCCTGCCTATCCTCCGTCTGTCGGGGGTGCTCCTGCCCTTGGCAGTGACGTCCTGGAGGACCGCCAGTTCGAGCTTGCTTTCCTCTCCGAGGCTGCTCCCCATCTCTGTTCCATGCTGCTAGTCCCTGAGGGTGACCCAGACGCTTTTGGCATCCCGACCCCTCGCACTTACGCTGAGGCGACTTCGGGACCCTGGGCCTCACAGTGGATAGCTGCCATGGAGCAGGAGATGGCATCTTGGAGATCCACCGGCACCTTTGTCGACGCAGTTCCCCCACCTGGGGTGAACGTAGTCGATGGCCGCTGGCTCTTCAAGGTGAAGCGCCCTCCTCGAGAGCCGCCTGTCTTCAAGGCGCGCTATGTGGCTAGAGGCTTCAGTCAGCGCGAGGGGGTGGACTTCTTCCAGACCTTCGCTCCGACCCCGAAGATGACTACTCTTCGGGTTCTGTTACATATAGCTGCTCAGCATGACTACGAGCTTCACTCCCTCGACTTCTCCACTGCCTTCCTTCAGGGCAGCCTACACGAGCAGGTCTACTTGCGTCGCCCTCAGGGCTTTACTGGCACCTTCCCTCCTGGGACCCAGTGGCTCCTCCGGCGCCCCGTCTACGGCCTGCGCCAGGCTCCCCGTGAGTGGCACGACACTCTCCGTGCTACGCTTGCTGACCTGCAGTTCTTTCCGTCTTCCGCAGACCCCTCACTCTTTGTTCGTGCTGGCCAGACTCCGTTCTACATCCTTGTTTACGTCGACGACTTGGTCTTTGCCACAGCAGACAGGGACGCACTAGCCTCCGTGAAGGCAGAGCTGCTGAAGAGACACACGTGCACTGACCTTGGAGAACTGCGCCGTTACCTTGGCTTGCAGATCTCCAAGGACAGAGCTGCGCGCACCATCACCCTGACTCAGTCACACTTGGTGCGCCAGGTCCTTCAGAGGTTCAGCCTTGAGTTCTCCTCTGCACAGCCCACCCCTCTGCCTGTAGACCACAGACTCTCCGCTCCAGTGTCTGAGGAGTTGGTAGAGCCCAGTGGCCCCTACGCAGAGCTGGTGGGTTGCCTCATGTACCTGATGACTTGCACTCGCCCAGATCTCGCATACCCTCTCAGCATCCTGGCTCGCTTTGTGGCCACAGGCAGACACCGACCGCAGCACTGGTCTGCCGCTAAGAGGGTTTTACGTTATCTTGCTAGTACATCGGGCATGGGGTTAGTGCTAGGAGGACGCAGGCCAGTGGTCCTTACTAGACACACAGACGCTTCGTGGGCAGACGACGCTGAGACACTTAGGTCTACCCAGGGCTACTGCTTCAGCCTTGGCTCAGGTGCCGTCTCGTGGAGAGCTACCCGCTCCTCGTCTGTTGCGCAGTCCAGCTGTGAGGCCGAGATCTACGCTGGTGCCATGGCGGCACAGGAGCACCGCTGGCTGACCTTTTTTGCTCACTGACTTAGGTGAGCGGCCTAGCTCTGCCCCGGTCCTGTTCGCTGACAACAGGGCCATGATCCTCCTGTGTCAGGAGCCTCGACTCGAGGGCAGAGCGAAGCACATTCAGCTGCGGTACTTCCTCCTGCGTGAGCTACAGCAGCGACGTCAGGCTCGCGTAGTACACTTGGCCTCAGGTGCCAACACGGCTGATATCTTTACAAAGGCGCTTGCGCCTAAAGATCATCAGCGGCACTGTGTACAGCTTGGTCTAGTTCCTGTAGCCTCTCACTTGCTAGGACCTTGACTTTGTACTGTCCTTTATACGTATACTCAGACTGGACTTGTGTCCTCTCGCAGTGGCTGGACTAGTAGTGCCGCCCTGCCCTTGTTCTTGCCTTGTTTGTACTCCTTCTGACTGGTCTCTCAGACCCTTGTCTCAGCGGTTGGACTAGTAGTGCCGCCCTGAGCTGTTTGTTTAGGGCATTCCCCTATGCAGTCTAGGGGGTGTGTCAAACATGTGTATTTGTCATGTTTGTATAGACTGTATAGGATCGCCTCTTAGAGAGTACAACACTTAGGTATATCTTTGTGTACTCTCACTCTATCTACAATTCAATTTTCAAGTTTGATATGCAGTACAACCCGGTAAGGAATAAAATTCCTTACAGAGGCCATGTATGTGTTGAGTGACCCGCTGGGGTTGCCCTTGAGATCCTCGGGGAAGGGCCACGGGTGCAGAGCCTGGGGGGCTATGGGCGCACTTACCCGCTATTCAATAAGCCCTTTTAACCCAGTGGTTAGTGGCTGGGTTTCTGACAGTATGTCCCTCCATCCACCACGTACATGTATTAGCTTCGACCTATTTAGATAATGTGATTCTTAACCTGCGATTTTGCTTCACCGCTGTGGCGGTTCACGTTGACGTTATAGCATTCTGGCCCATAGAAAATATTGCACATAGCGCACTACCAATCTGGCACAGTGGTATGGTACATTACGAGAAGAATTGAATCGGCATCCTTTCCCCTACCATACCGTCTCTAACATAGTCTCATTTCATCATGATAGGAGTGAGGAACACAGCCCACTTGTTGTTTGAGAGGCACTTGCTGTTGTTGGAGGACAACAGGAGGGCAGGGGAGAACCTGGAGCATGGGGGCAAACACGTATAGAATTCGAGAGAAATGTCAGGAAACTATATTTTCAAAGGCCACGCCAACCATAGTATCAGATAGGAGTTTGGTGTTGTCTGGGGGCTGGAGTGGTGTGTGCTATGTCCCACTGAACAAATGTGCCTTGCACCAGCTGCCTTCACTTTACAAGGCGATGCAACTAACTTGTAACAGGGGCAGTGGTTTTTGAGTTGGGTGGCTGTGGGAACAGGCCAGGTGCACATGCAATACCCGGCTGCATGTGCTGCTGACGTCATGGTTAATACCACATTTTCTATTGTTCGATGCGGAATGGGGGATGGGGGATGGCGTAGTGTGGCTTACGTAACAAACTTGCCGGAACGTGCCAGGTGCAGGAGGATACACACATACGAGTTTAGCTGAATTTTGAGAACTCTAATTACCAGAATAACCTGTCTTAACGTGCCAGGTGCAGGAGGATATATACTTACCAGCTCTCTGCTGCGTGTGATGACCCATCATGGCGAATCCAGCTATATCCACGCAGGAGGATATAAACGTACCAGCGCTTTGCTGCATGTGATGACCCATCAGGCTTAATTCCACAATCCCCACGATTTCTCTGATGGTAATAGACATGATTTGATTTCATCGGCGATATAATCCAAAGATATGGCCCTGTAGCCATCCAGGGTACAAGGGAAAGCCAGGAAAGGGGGAGAGAAACAGGGAGAAATAAGGAGGTATGGGATGGGAGGAAGCACTTACAGGTGCGGCATTGTGAGTCTATGTTAATGGTTTGCGCAATGGTTTTTTAATGGTTTGCGCAAAAGCAACGCTGGAGACTGCGCATTGGTTTTTGCAATGTGTTTCGTTACCACAAATTTCTCTCACATTTCGGCAGATTGTAACTCTTGCAAGTATACACTCCAGAGTGTCGCATATGTTACTGCTCAGCACAGGCTGAGCATCCCATATCTGATAAAGGTGGGCATATGGGTATAAGGGAGGGGCGGGGGAGGGGGAGGGGGGGTGGGTTAGAGATGGGGGTGGGAGTGAGAGATGAGGATGTGGATGGAGGAAATAGAAGGACCAGGGATAAGCTTCATATTGTAACCTGTAACGAACATACGGTGTGCCTTAGTGTGGTTGTGAGGCCTAATTTGTTTTAGACGCACATACGGTGCTTTAGGAGACGAAAGTGCCAACAGCAGCAGTGTAACTCAGCATAATGTTTCTGTTTCAATTCGTTACTGTACCTGGGCAGGGCAGAAGGGGCAGATATCGCCCTCCAGAGGCTCGGAGCCATTTACCAGCACCGAGTGCACGCTGATGTCCAGGGGCAGGGAGCAGGGGGCAGGGGGCAAGGGGCATGGGGCGGGGGGGGTATGGGGCAGGGGTGCATGGGGCAGGGGAGTATGGTGCATGGGAGTATGGGGCAAGGAGAATGGCGCAGGAAGGTATGGGGGAGGGGAGTATGGGGCCAGAGGAATGGGGCTGGGGGGGTATGTGGCAGGGAAGTATGGGCCATCGGCTATGGGGCAAGGAGAATGGGGCAGGGGGGTATGGGGCAGGGGGGTATGGGGCAGGGGAGTATGGGGCAGGGGGGTATGGGGCAGGGGGGTATGGGGCAGGGGGGTATGGGGCAGGGGGGTATGGGGCAGGGGGGTATGGGGGTATGGGGCTGGGGAGTATGGGGCAGGGGGATATGGGGCAGGGGAGTATGGGGCCATCGGGGTATGGGGCAAGGGGCCAGGGGCATGAAGCGCGGGGGCATGTGTGGAGGGGAGGATGGGAAGGGGGTCAATGGGGCAAGGGGGCAGGAGGGAGAGGAGAAGTGCGTTCGAAGGAGTAAGACAAGCAAGACGCGAGAGGGGGAGAGGGAGGGGGAAAAGGGGAGAGGGCGAGAGGGTGAGAGGGGAAGAGGGCAAGAGGGCAAGAGGGCGAGAGGGCGAGAGGGGGAATGGGGGGAAGGGGGAGAGGACGAGAGGGCGAGAAGAGGAGAGGGGAGAGGGGGAGAGGGCGAGAGGGTCAGAGGGTCAGAGGGCACCATGAACGCGAGGTGGAAGTTGTAACGCCAGGACTAGATACAACCTTCTCACAAGCAGACGGTACAAGCTTACCCAGATGAGGCGAAATCCGCGATGAATCTCCTTAGCACCTTGAACGTGAGGTGGAAGTGGCCATTTGCACCTCCTACAGTAGGTGCTTACCCAGATGAGGCGAAATCGGCGATGAATCCTCACAGCACCATGAACGCGAGATGGAAGTGGTACTAGTTGTGTCGCCGAGAGAAGTTACCTGGTAACACCCATCAGGATGATCCTGTCAAAAAAATCATCCCTTCATCCAATACAACGTACCCAGACGAGGTGACTTTTGAGTCGACTCAAAAGTTACAACGTACCCAGACGAGGCAAAATCCGCGATGAATCCCCTTAGCACCATGAAGGTGAGGTGGAAGTGGCTGCGCCTTTCCGCCACCACGAACGACGCGCTTTCGGGGTCAACCAGCGGAACGATTCTCAGCAGCGCGGCTCGGGAGAAGGAGGACTGCTCGTCCACGTGGCAGGTCACGCCCATTCGCCTACAGTGCCGCCTGAAATCTCGCGGCCGTCCCACGGTATGGTTGCTCCCGTTACTAGTAGAAGTACTAGCACTAGCAGTAGTAGAGCCCGTACGCGTTATAAGGTCGTCACCCAGACTCGCCCCGCATCCTGGAGATAACATCCTCATCAGGCCACTAACAATGCGCCACGTGTCCCGCCACGGTAGGGCCACAATTCCTGCCGCTCGAGGGGACCTTTCCGTCGCTCCCCTGTCCGTTCCTACATCGGGGCTGAGTATAACGGCGTGATCGTATAACCGAACCACTTCGTCTAGAATCTCGCCAACCCCCAGGTCGAGAAAATGGCACGGGATGTCCACGAATCCCGGGCAGTATATCAAAATTTTCGGGGTAAGCCCGAAATCTTCATGTGACCGGCGAATAAGGCCATCTCTTGTACTCGTTTCAAGACCCTCCCAGAAATCCGACATAAGCAGCCGCTCGTGACAGTAACGGGGCCAGAGCTCTCTGCGACACAGACTTTCTAGGCTGCGACAGGAGCAGGCGAGTCTTGAGATCGTTCGTGCAGGCGATCCCGTCGCATGCGCGATCCTGTAAATAATTTCCGGTTGCACGTTCTCCATTTCCAGACTATTTTGTTTTGAGGCGCCTCAAAACCAGACTATTTTTTAGAATTCTAAAAAATACTCTCCATTTCCAGACCGGCGCTAGGAGCGTGAATAATTTCCGTTTGCGCGTTCTTATATTGGAAATAGAGCGAGGAAAAAACTAGTAAGCGCGCTCGCTGATCTCAGCATAGAACAAAGATAAGGGCTGAGCACCGTATAGCGAACTGTAATGGGAAAATAGGCTCCTACATCCCGAGCGAGTGTGCTTGATCCTAGAAGTCGGTTGTGCTCCTCCTCTCTGACCATGCGTGCCTGGTCTAGTTGCGCCAGAATCAAACTATGGCGGACCAGCACAGAGCGAGGCACGCGGTAGAACGAGGCCCACCAGCACAGCGCGGCGTTACATTGCAGCGTAACGCGACAGCACAAAGCAACACAGCAAATCAGAACGCCATAGCTGAGGTTAGTGCGGTCCAGAGACAGCAAGCAGCCCTCTCATACGGGCTGGCAGGCACACATGTACGGCTGAGCATGCAAATAGCCGCAGAGCAGCAAAACAGCACGATCCAGCACAACGGCACGAACAACAGACCAGCAAAATAGCTGCAGGCCGCCTTGGATGATGCTCGATCGATCCGTGTAATGCAACATGCGACTCGGGACGGCAGTTTCGTCCAGTAAATAGAGTTACAAGTTAACAGCGTGCGAGAGGTTGAGGAGGGTGATTCGCAAGGCGTTCGCAAGAGGCTTCGTCTAAAAACGACGAGACCCGCGAAACCAGGGCTGAGTGTGATGCCTCCGTCTCCCCTCCAGGTGTGACCTCACTCAACTGGTGGCTCAACGACGTTCGCTGCAGGGCGTGAATCGAAACGTGCAATTTTGTCCAGGCGGCGAAAACGTTCCACCAACACCCCTCAGGCCAGCTATTGTTTGAAGATCGAACCAAACAAGTACACTGGATAACATGGAACTCCAGAATTAATTCATGTATGCTAGTAAGCTAACTCAATTAATAGTTATATTAGCACTAATATCAACTTATATTTACATTTGTTTTTAATTCAGAAGTAGCTGAAGTGATAATATTCTGAAATTAGACAATATTGCGGTAAATTTGAGGATAAAGGACAAAGGTCGACCCTAATAAGGAGATCATAAGGCCACATAGTGTCACTCGGAACAGTCATCAAACGGAATACAACCGCTTTCCACACTCAAGATTGAGTAGGAAGCTCATTCTCCATACAGATGACGTCCAACCTTATGGCAGCTCAACCCAGCGCCCAATCAGAATCGTTTTCCAAAACCTCCGACATACGCGCCGTTGTGATATGATTCATACTTACCATTTCTGTAAGTCGATTATCGATAGATAGTGTCGAATCATACTGTAAAATATAAGTCTGTAGGATGACGTCAGCAAATAGCACTTGTCATGAGAACAGTCGTTTCAGTCACGCGAACAGCCGCGTCTCTTCAGTGTCACTTAGGGCGCATAGCGCGATAGTGTCAACAGGTACATTAGCGAACAGGTACTTATGTGATGTATAAAAGTAGCCTGTCTTCATTGTTTAGTTAACGTGGTTCTTAACTTGATTCTAAATTGTTCTTACCTTGTTCTTCAGAATATTCTGGTCAACACTTAACAAGTTCTAAGACTTCCGCTGTCTTACTAGTCTACCATTCCAGTAAAGATCCTAGGCTAACACTTGAGGTTTTCCAAGTGTTCATGTTTGCAGATTCTATACTTAGTCTCTTGCAACACCTGTCAAATTATTACATGGTATGAGAGCTGTCTGGAATTAAGACTACTGTCAACAATGACTGGAACAACACCAGCATAATCTACTGGATCTAGTTCCGGAACTACTGGAGTACCTGTCTCTTCGACTGACACTGGTCTCTCAGCCTCTGGACCGTTTCCACCGGCTTATGCGCACATCGGTATGCAGCAGCAGCAGCAAAATCGTTCTTCTGTTAGTACTCCAGGGATTTCATCGACTGCCCCTGCAGCACAACAACAGCAAACATAGGCAACAGCACAACCGTTCTCAACCCAGTCAATATCATCAGCGTTTAGTGGAATGAGCCTTGACGGCTCAAGTTACATGCGTGGAGCTCCAGCTCCAAGTACTAGCTCATTTGCATTGTCACCTTTTATGCAGCAGCCGCAGTCTCAGCAGCAGCAACCCTTTTACATCTTCGGGCGTTCACCTGCTCAGCAACAACAACAGCAGTAGCAACATCAACATCAGTAGCAACATCAACATGAGCAACAACAGCAACAACAGCAACATCCTCAACAATTTCAACAACAGCAACAACCTCAACAACAGGATATTGTTTTTCAGCCGCCGAATTAACTTAACAGCACACGGATTAAGACCACTATGCATTTTAACGGTGTTGATTTTTACTCCTGGAGCTTCGAGTTTGAACTTCTGGCGCAATCTGCCGGGCTATGGCCGTTCTTCACCGGCGAGTTCACATATCCTGTTATGGGAACACAACTGGAGCAGCAGAGTTTCTTGCACGCCTCTCTCGGGGCGTATACGGTTCTCGTTCGAAACTTGATTGAGGTAGCAGAACGGATGAATCGAACTCTGCAGGAGAAGATGCGTGCTCTGCTGACGCAGACAGCTCTTCCTCCTCGGTTTTGGCCATATGCGATGGACCACGTCGTGCTGTTACACAACCTGATGTCTTCTACGTCCCTGCCTGAGTTTTCTTCACCTCGCCTGCAGTGGACACGTACAGTGGGAAGTACAAAACTCTTACGCGTTTTTGGGTGTGTCGTGCAGTTTCGACCTCCAACTGCAGCACTCGGCAAATTTTATGAACTGGCAAAATAGGGGGTACACCTCGGCATCGAAAAACAGTATCACGCATGGAAGATTTTGGATCTTCGTTCAAACCAAATTGTTCCTTCACGTGATTGTCTCTTCTATGAGCGACTCACCTTGCCAGTTTTTCGTGCCCACTTGGCAGCAGCTACCAACCCCGCCAGGCTATTCGAAGGTTCGCGTGCATTTGCAACCGACGAAGCCGAAGCTGATGTACAAGGCAAGGCAGTTTCTGAAGCCTCCAACAGACATTCCCGAACCTGTCACGTCGTCTGGCATCCCGAAATTTATTCCCCTCGCTGATGCTGACCCGGACGACGTTCGCGAAGTTCATCTCAGTTACGAACGCGATCGTCAACAGCAGCCGATGCCAGCCGTCTCCGACGAAGCAGTCTGTGTTACACGTGACGAAATTGGGGGGGAAGAAGGGTCAGAAGAAAATTTCGCAGGTGCAAACGGAGAACGTCCGCGTTTTACAGAAACTGGTTTACAGATTCTTGGATTTGCAGTCGCAGTACAGTACAACGACAACAAAATACCTGAACCGAAAACAATTCGACAAGCTCTTACGAGTCCTCACCGAGAAAAAATGGCACGAAGCCATGGACAGAGAGCTAGCAGCTCTTAAGGATCGCGGTACATAGGAGCTGATACCGATATCAGAGGTAAAATGAAGAAAGGTGGGTCTTCCGTGTCAAGACTAATGTAGATGGATTGTTTGAGAAATTCAAGGCACGATGGGTCGTCCGCGGGTTCGAGCAGACTTTCGGCCTTGACTACGAGCTTACCTTCGCTCCCTTCGGTCGACATACGAGTGTTAGGATTTTACTATGTGTCGCCGCCTGCCGCAATCTACGACTTCGCCAAATCGATGTGGCGAGTGATTTCCTCTACGCACCCGTCAACGCACTCATTCTGGTAGAGTACCCGCACTCGTACACTACTAACCCACCGAGTGTATGCCGTCTCAGAAAATCGCTTTACGGTATTAAACAGGCATCCCGGCTTTGGCAGCAGTATCTGCATTCACAGCTACTCACTGCTGGATTTCGTCAACTACCACATAATCAGGGAATGTATCTTCTAACTGCTGGAAGCAACTACATTCTACTCGTCGCTTACGTCGACGTTATTCTCTACGTCAGTACGACTGAATCGCTCGCCAACACCTTCATACTAAAACTATGGAAAAACCTACAGCTCACCGTCTCTGAGTTAGTCTCACAGTTTCTCGGTCTAAACATTACCTGCTCACCGACATCCATTCACCTAACTGCCTCGAAGTATGCAGCTACGCTCGCTGCCCGCTTCAACCTCACTCCTACTGCAGTCACTACACCGTACCGTTCCTTATCGACATATTACAAACCAAATACTACACCACATAATATCACCGATTTACAGACTTATCAACAGTAGTTTGTCTTCTCTTTGCCGCTGTTACTTGTCGTTTAGATCTAGCCTATGTGGCTAGTCAACTTGCTCAATACCTACGCCGTCTTGAAGGGGAGCATCAACTTGATCTCCTACGCGCGCTTCAGTATTTCATATCGACTCCTGACGTCGGTATAGTCTACAACGTCATCGGCTGTAAAACGTTATATCTATACGGTTTCGTCGACGCCGATCACGCTGCCGATACTACTAATCGACGCTCGCGTAATGGATTTATCTACCGCATTGAACCTATCGGGCATATTTCTTGGAATTCGACGAAACAGGAGATGATTGCTCTCTCCTCTTCTGAAGCTGAATTTATCGCTGTCTGTACAGCAACACGCGAAGGACTTTATCTGGAGGAAATCTTGGAAGAAGAGAAGTTGACAACGAGTACTCAGTTTACTTTGCAGTGCGATAACCAAAGTGCAATTCGTATTGCGCACCAACCTGGCTTCGTCAACAGGACGAAACACATTTCACTGCGTTACTTTTTCGTCAAGGATGAAGTTGAGAAGGGGAGAATGCGATTGGTCTACTGTTCGACCAACGAAATGGCTGCCGATTCCCTCACGAAGAAGCTGACACGATAGAAGTTTCTGTACTGTAACAAGCTTTGCGGGATCTTCAAGAAGTGACACTATCGGACTTCCAGAAATGAAGGGGAGTGTTGTGATATGATTCATACTTAGCATTTCTGTAAGTCGATTATCGATAGATAGTGTCGAATCCTACTGTAGAAGATAAGTCCGTAGGATGACGTCAGCAAATAGCGCTCATCATGAGGACAGTCGTTTCAGTCACGCGAACAGTCGCGTCTATTCAGTGTCATTTAGGGCGCATAGCGCGATAGTGTCAACAGGTACATTAGCGAACAGGTACTTATGCTAGATATAAATGTAGCGTGTCTTTATTGTTTAGTTAACGTGGTTCTGGACTTGATTCTGAACTTGTTCTTAATTTATACTTCAATAAATTCCGGTCATTACTCTACAAGTTCTAAGACTTCCGTTGTCTTACTATTCTACCATTCTAGTAAAGATCCTAGGCTAACACTTGAGGTTTTCCAAGTGTTCATGTTTGCAGATTCCATACTTAGTCTCCTACAACACCTGTCAAATTATTAAACGGGCAATGTGGGATCTGTTTGAGACACTCATAATTGAGTATGCGACCAACATATAGCAAGGGACAAGTCGTTGCCAACGTGGTTTCGTCGCCATGTGCACCGCAGTCGCCTGATCGTGTCACAAGATTCGCACACTGAGAACAAACATCGCCACACAAGCCCCCCTACAAATACCCACCCTTTTCGCCGTGTGTTCGTGCGAAAGCGTCATTTTCCCATGGCAAGGGCATGCGAAATACTTGTGCGATTGAATCACTGGCTCCCTTCAATCTTGTGCGACTCTGACGAGCTTTGTTTGTATGTGTTCTAGGCCCTGTCATGTACGTAGATGGCTATGAACTATTGATAAGTGTGGGGTTCTTACGGGCGGAAGATTCGAGTGCTGTTACACTTCTGCGGTTGCCACCCGATTGAAGCACAGCTGCCCTTCATTGCATTCAGGCCCCCAAAACTTTCATGACAGCCATGGCACAACTGCTGCTGGCCGTCCATATGGAGTTGAACTGTCCATGATGGCAGATAGGGTGCTTTATGCGCGTGGCCTCTCTTTCCAAGTGGGGCTGCACGAAATCTCTGTTTTGGGGGGGTGTTCCAAGTGTACGTCTGATAGCGGTTGCGCAGGGTGCTTTTTGGGTCAGAAGGATCAAATATCAATCTGAAGTGGTTGGGTAGGGTAGCGCGAAAACGGGCCGTGGGACGAAGTTGACAGCGCCGAACGTACGGCCAAGTTCCAACTCCCTTTCGGTACTAGGTTGGTGCGGCTTCTGATTCCAGGTGGGAATAGCTCATGTTCCGCGGAATATAAATTATCAATGCCCCTCTCACTTCTGTAGATGGTGAAAAAAAAAAACATCCTGGACAAAAAGGTTCAAGGTCCATGAACCGCGCAGAAACAGGTGTGCCATGCCATGCCATGGCAGTGCCATCCCATTCCACCATGGCTACTACATTCCGCGCACCCCATCGGTACCCACAGCCATCATCCCACAAACCTTCAATTCCACCATGGACTTCCCCATGTGAGACAGATGGGATGGGATGGAACGAGCTGGGATTGTTTCGCTGTAGGTGTACCGTGCATGATAGAAGCTTGCACATAAGAAACTTCCGTTCCAGCCTCCACCATCCCATGTGTTGGTATTGGCGACAACCCAGTGATACTTTCAAGTCGGCCATGCCATAATTGAAGACCTAATCTGACTACTAACCCTCCCCCCACCACGTCTTGGATCGACGATTAGTCCCTTAGCTTTGACAGCAGATTCCAAACCATGAATGGAAGGTTTCTCGCAGGATATTCCTCTGCTCCAGCATCTCCGCAACTTGTCAGAAACACCCCGTCGCCTTCAAGCAGCGATGGCGACCATCAGTAAGCAGCTAAACTGCTTGTTTGGTTCTTCGGGATCGTTTTCCGACAGTAATTAGGTGCTGATAGCCCTTACTGCGTTATTTATCAAGTGTTGACTCGTGGTCTTTCCGCTCGTTCAGATACCTCGCGGACCTGCTGGCTGAACGGAAGAAGCTGCTTCCCTTCAGACAAGTCTTACCGCATTGCGGTCGGTTGCTTGACCAAGGTCAGGGGAGATATAAATAATTACTGCCGTTATGGGAGTTTTTGCGCCCTCTACTAACCATGACGTTCTTCTTTTTCCAGAAATTGCGCGATTATCGTCTATAGTGGGGTCTCCGACTTACATGGAACATGAGCACGCCGAAACGTCATCGCCCATATCCCATCCCATCTTCTCTCCCGGGCCCTCTCCCTTCGACGCGCAGACATGGTCTCCGATGCCGAACGAAGTCGGGGTACGAAAATGCTTTAGCTCGTGCGTCTTGCTTTTATACGTCTTTGTTTTCCAGAATCTAGGTGGTTTAAGTCATGCGTTAACCCTCGCGATCCTTTTTCCTGCAGCCCTCGTCGTCACTTTTTGCAACGCCAACAGCTCACCAGCCAACCACAACAACCTTGGTTGGCTGGACGCCTCAGCCTGGCGCTGCTCCGATTGTCAAGAAAGCTCGCAGGATTGACATTCCAGTGGATCAGTATCCCACCTTCAATTTTGTTGGAAGAATTCTGGGCCCCCGAGGCAATTCGCTAAAGCGAGTTGAGGCTCAAACGGGTTGCCGTGTTCTCATTCGAGGCAGAGGTTCCATCAAAGACCCTACCAAGGTATTCGATCAATCAAATGTTTCTTGTTTTCAGCTTCTCTTTTCCGGGCAAGTCCTCATGTGGTACGTTGGGTCTTGCAGGAAGAGAAGATGCGCGACAAGCCAGGGTATGAGCACCTGAACGAGCCCCTGCACGTCATTGTTGAGGCTGAGCTCCCTGCAAACATTGTAGATACTCAGCTGTTGCAAGCTTGTGAAATTCTTGAAGAGCTGCTGAAACCAGTGGTAAGTGTATTGTGTCACTCCACTTCTTTTGGCATGCGTATTGCTTTGCAGTTGTTCTTACCACTGACGCCTTTCAAACGTGTTACAGGATGAATCTTGTGATATTCTCAAACGGGCGCAACTGAGGGAGTTGGCTATTCTCAACGGGACCCTTAGAGAAGACACTGGATCGCACAGCCTCTTTGCAGGGTCGCCATCGCCGTTTAGTGACCCTGAATTCAGATCTACCAAGACTCGTCGCTGACGAAGAGTACTGGTTGCCGGCAAAGCTTTGATTTTAACTGCACGAGGGAAGAAAGATCTTGTGCAGTTGCAGAGACTGACTCCAATCTTCCTATATTTACCAGGCTGGCCAAGCAGCAGTTCTAGGTTTTAGGGTACCAGGGCACAGTAGAATACCCTAGGAATAGCTAGTCATTAGCCTATTCATGGTTTGTCCTGGTTTCCTTGGGGCTCAGAGTCTCTCTGGCCGCATTGAGACCACATGCATAGATGTATGTATATCCCTTGAGTCCTATAGCTTTAGAAAAAGGAGTTCATGAAGTGGGATGTCTAGGTAGAGTTCGCTTTTCAAAAGACATGACAACTGGGATCACTAGGAGAGTCCTGGTTATGGGTAGCCACCAGACTTTTTCTCTGCACTAGCTGTGGAACATAAGCCTCCACTTATCTCCCTGGTTCAGCCGTCGCACAAGCTGCAAAAATGTTCAGTGCAACACTTGCAACATATTCCTTGAAGGCCGCACTGCAAACACAGAAGCCAGGGTGGTGAAATGAGTGAAAAAATCATCTTGTAGTGGCTCCTACTGGATTGAGAGACCATTGAACTTACATTTAGTCGAAAGAGGTGAGCCCTGCAGAAGTACTCAGCGCACACGCTGCACTGGACCAGGCAATTCTCGCAACCAATCTCTCCATCCCTGACAATGGCATGCCCAAGAACGTCTGCTGGAGCTCCCTCGCCATTAAGCATCGAGTACACACCACACATCATGACATGGCCAGCCTTGGGACAATGAGGACATGGAACAACATCCAGTGCCTCGGAGAGCCTGAACTTTTCCAACAGACGAACATGGCGGCCTTCAACATTCGTCGAACCAGCCAATCGCATCGATTTCAGGACTGGATCCATTCCTGCTTCGTGGCATGTTTGAGCCAAATGACCGACCAGCGACACCAATGCTCCTCCTGACAATTTTGGACACTCCAAAAGCCAAAGCTGCAATGAGAGGGGGATGCCATTAGAAGGATACCACAAACGAGACAACAGAAGTGAGAACTGTACTTGAGCTCACCTTTTCCAGTTTCTTGTTCTCCTTCATGCCGTCCGCAAGAAGGAAAGCTCCAGTCAATCGTTTTGATCCGTGAATCTCGACAATCTCGAGCTCCTTTTGCGCTCGTTTAATCAGAACCATGAGACGGGTGTCTGTCAGCTTTTCCGACAGGGACCTTGGGATGGTAATCCTTTTCCACAAGTGACGGTCATGAACGACAAAGTTGTTTAGATCCTTGCAGGTGCACTGGACGGACATCAGATCCATCAGAGATAACACTCTACATATACGATGGAGCAAGGCCTCATCGAGGCAAAGGATATAGGCAGTTCCCTCGTCATTGGACACATAATCTCCCTGCGAAGCTGCTGCCGAAACGAAGGGGTTCATTTCTCCATTCGAAGAGACCAACGGCAATTCGGAAGCCATGGGTCTTGTAATGAAACAGGCCCCGCGCTGACTCAGCCGCGAACTAACCAGACTGATACAGCCTCTGTTGAACTTCGACTAAATTCTTTCAAGGTGGAGAGACGAAACCTTGGGACAAGAACAGGTGATTGCAAAGACCTGAGCGTCTGGAAGACGTCTGAGTAGTAAAGGAGTAACCAAATTAGGGAACTTGAACTGAAGGGGAGTTGTGCTTGGTGAAGACAATGGCTGAAGGGAGCAACGAACTGGAGCAGCTAGAGAATGGGAGAGGTTCTCGTTCTGGTCTGAAGAACTTCCTAGAGAGTTCCGTCACAAACTGGGCCAGCAAACCCAAACCGTTTACAGATTCGCACAAGCCAATGAGCAAACACCAAGGGCGAAACGTTCAGCCAATGAACAAGAGAGCATAGGAACTATCATCGCCAAAACCGAGAATCATCCAAGCATCGTATCAGCCAATCATCTGCCGAGAATGAGCTGGCTCACCCCGGCGACTTGTCGGTCAACGACGTTGTTTGGACAAAGTAGTCGCAAGGATGTTTTGCGATGTCGGTGGGGGCAGAGCACAAGGCTCCGTGCGACAACCCAGAGACCTCCAAAGCGCACAGCTGTTTCAAACAGGGTTCTGATCGTATATGTAATTGAACAATGCTTCTAAGACATAACAGTTCCTCCTCTATCGCATCGATGACTCTCCATGCAAGCAGGCGCAATTTCCTTTCCACCGTCCAGCCTGAACCAGGCAGTTCGTGCAACCATCAATCGGAGATGCGTTCTTAGGAATGACCGTAGATGCTGGGTTCGAAACCTAGATGCTACCAGACCCTAAGTAAAAGCTTATACTTACAAGCTGCTAGATTAACTCGCGTAAACCTTCACCTTAGGCTCCACGGAAGCCTTCACCTTAGGATCGAGCTGCAAGTTCGACATCTTATGCCCACGATATAGCTTTCACTTGGAAATGATAAGCTTGCAGTAGCCATGGCGACTGCTGCGGAAAGGGAGAAGGAGCTACAGCGCGCCCTGGGAGAGTGCGCTTTAAGCAGGTAGGGCCGCATCTGCCACGATTTTTAAGGACAAATGTTCCAGACCACTCTTTTAATGGTTGGAAGTTCTCTAGCTTTTAGTCTCCTCCTTAGAACTGACACCATAATCTGACGCGGATACTCTATCTGAGCTCCTGCTTCACGCCTAGAACTGCCTGACTTTCCTGGTCCTCCATTCATGCTTCTCCCCTCAAACATTTCCTTCCTCCCGTTCTTGCCTCCCCACTTCTATCCTTCCTCCACCATCCTCCCGAATTTATCCGAATTCCTCGCCGTTCACTTTTCCTCGTCTATTACCATCTTTTCCTCTCCCTTTCGATCCCCTTCCCCCTCCGCAGTTCCTGGATTTTCACCCTAGGCGGGTGTTTAATCGCCATCCCCATAGGTATTCGGCGCAAATCCATGGGTCCGCTGGTGTTCTATGGTACCACAGGCGCCATGGTGGACATCATTCAGGGCATCAGTAACTGCGAGAAGGAGAGAGAAGCTCTCAAGGCGTTTATGGAAGAGAAAAGAGCGGGTCAACCGGGAGCAGCGGATGCAGCTGGTAGTAGCAGCAGAGGGTCGGGGTTGACGGAGAGAAGCGGAGTGCAGCAAGATATTGCACAGACGCTAGATGATGATAAGACGTCCAAGTAGGCATTCAGCGCAAGTCCCTGGGTCAACTGGTGTCCATGGCACGACAGGTGCAATGGTGGACGGACATCTTTCAGGGCATCAGCAACTGCGAGAAGGAGAGAGAAGCTCTGAAAGCGTTTATGGGGGAGAAAAGAGCAGAGAAGGGAGCGGGTCAACAAGGAGCAGCGGATGCAGCTGGTAGTAGTGGCAAAGGGTCAGGTTTATGGGAGAGAAGCGGAGTCCAGCAGGATATCGCACAAACGCTTGATGGCGATAAGACGTCTAAGTAGGTATTTGGCAAGTCCATGGGTCCGCAGGTGTTCTACGGCCCAGCAGGCGCAATGCTGGACGCCGTTCAGGGGATTGGTGTTGCAAAATGGAGAGGAGCCCTGACAGCGTATATGTGGGAGAGACAAGGAAGCAAACGGGGGGATACGCAGAAGCGGGTTAACAAGGTCTAGGGGAGGGAGAGGTTGGGAAGGAGTTGATACGGTAGAAATTGAGAGCTGGGATGGGATAGGAGAGGCTCAGAGGAAAGTAGATACCTGGTGGGATCGAGCAAGTTGTTGCTTAACCGCTAGATAATGACGGCACAGAACTCGGTGCACCACCACGCGTGCGTCGCTGTAGTATTGCATGCAAGCGGGGGATCAGCAAGTATGCTTGGCAAATACCAGTGCAGTGTCCATTTTGGCGAAGACGAGTCATTTCGTTTTGTGGTGTGGTATCATTACAGTGGTTGCAGTGCATTTTAATGATGCTTTAGGCCATTGACTGCACAGTCTCAGAGTAGAAAAGTTGACTAGAATTGGGCATACAGGTTGATTTTGTGCAAGTGTTGTACTCTCTAAGAGCATGCACATGTCTAGCCTAAAATAAAATATACAAATATGTTTGACACACAGCACGAACACATTGCTCTTTTTTAGCAGAAGCTCAGGTCAAGAGGCCCCCAGAAGTCAGGAAAATTTTCCTGATTCAGGAAAAAAACAGGGAGTTTCTCGGTACTTACCCTGATTGTGCAGGGTTTTGTAAATGACACACCTGTTTTTTCAGGCTTTTTGTAAGGGTAAACCCTGATCGCTCAGCAAGGTTTCTTAGCGAGCCCTGAATTTCTCAGCATTGTAGCGGGGCTTAGTCCTTTTTCCTTTCTCAGCATTGTAGGGGGGCAGTCAAGATTTTCGAGGTTCTCCACCCCCCCCTTTCCCCCACCCCCTGAGGCTGTGTGAGGCCGCTGATTGGCCCTTGGTAAAAAAAATCTCCGTGCTGTATGTTGGAGGTCATGTGAGGGAGGTGTGCTGAGGACTGTGTGAGGGCAATTGCTGGCCCTTGTATCAAAATTAGAGAAGTGTTGTTGATAGAGTGAAAGTACACACAGATATACCTAAGTCTTGTACCCTCTAAGAGGTGACCCTATACAGTCTATACAAATATGACAAATACACATGCTTGACACACCCCCTAGACTGCATAGGGGAATGTCCTAAACAAGCAGCTCAGGGCGGCACTACTAGTCCAACCTCTGAGACAAGGGTCTGAGAGACCAGTCAGAAGGAGTACAGACAAGGCAAGAACAAGAGCAGGGCGGCACTACTAGTCCAGCCACTGGGAGAGGACACAAGTCCAGTCTGAGTATACATATAAAGGACAGTACAAAGTCAAGGTCCTAGCAAGTGAGAGGCTACAGGAACTAGACCAAGCTGTACACAGTGCCGCTGATGATCTTTAGGCGCAAGCGCCTTCGTAAAGATATCAGCCGTGTTGGCACCTGAGGCCAAGTGTACTACGCGAGCCTGACGTCGCTGCTGTAGCTCACGCAGGAGGAAGTACCACAGCTGAATGTGCTTCGCTCTGCCCTCAAGTCGAGGCTCCTGGCACAGGAGGATCATGGCCCTGTTGTCAGCGAACAGGACCGGGGCAGAGCTAGGCCGCTCACCTAAGTCAGTGAGCAAGAAGGTCAGCCAGCGGAGCTACTGTGCCGCCATGGCACCAGCGCAGATCTCAGCCTCACAGCTGGACTGCGCTACAGACGAGGAGCGAGTAGCTCTCCACGAGACGGCAGCTGAGCCAAGGCTGAAGCAGTAGCCCTGGGTAGACCTGAGTGTCTCGGCGTCGTCTGCCCACGAAGCGTCTGTGTGTCCAGTAAGGACCACTGGCCTGCGTCCTCCTAGCACTAACCCCATGCCCGATGTACTAGCAAGATAACGCAGAACCCTCTTAGCGGCAGACCAGTGCTGCGGTCGGTGTCTGCCTGTGGCCACAAAACAAGCCAGGATGCTGAGAGGGTATGCGAGATCTGGGCGAGTGCAAGTCATCAGGTACATGAGGCAACCCACCAGCTCTGCGTAGGGGCCACTGGGCTCTACCAACTCCTCAGACACTGGAGCGGAGAGTCTGTGGTCTACAGGCAGAGGGGTGGGCTGTGCAGAGGAGAACTCAAGGCTGAACCTCTGAAGGACCTGGCGCACCAAGTGTGACTGAGTCAGGGTGATGGTGCGCGCAGCTCTGTCCCTGGAGATCTGCAAGCCAAGGTAACGGCGCAGTTCTCCAAGGTCAGTGCACGTGTGTCTCTTCAGCAGCTCTGCCTTCACGGAGGCTAGTGCGTCCCTGTCTGCTGTGGCAAAGACCAAGTCGTCGACGTAAACAAGGATGTAGAACGGAGTCTGGCCAGCACGAACGAAGAGTGAGGGGTCTGCGGAAGACGGAAAGAACTGCAGGTCAGCAAGCGTAGCACGGAGAGTGTCGTGCCACTCACGGGGAGCCTGGCGCAGGCCGTAGACGGGGCGCCGCAGGAGCCACTGGGTCCCAGGAGGGAAGGTGCCAGTAAAGCCCTGAGGGCGACGCAAGTAGACCTGCTCGTGTAGGCTGCCCTGAAGGAAGGCAGTGGAGAAGTCGAGGGAGTGAAGCTCGTAGTCATGCTGAGCAGCTATATGTAACAGAACCCGAAGAGTAGTCATCTTCGGGGTCGGAGCGAAGGTCTGGAAGAAGTCCACCCCCTCGCGCTGACTGAAGCCTCTAGCCACATAGCGCGCCTTGAAGACAGGCGGCTCTCGAGGAGGGCGCTTCACCTTGAAGAGCCAGCGGCCATCGACTACGTTCACCCCAGGTGGGGGAACTGCGTCGACAAAGGTGCCGGTGGATCTCCAAGATGCCATCTCCTGCTCCATGGCAGCTATCCACTGTGAGGCCCAGGGTCCCGAAGTCGCCTCAGCGTAAGTGCGAGGGGTCGGGATGCCAAAAGCGTCTGGGTCACCCTCAGGGACTAGCAGCATGGAACAGAGATGGGGAGCAGCCTCGGAGAGGAAAGCAAGCTCGAACTGGCGGTCCTCCAGGACGTCACTGCCAAGAGCAGGAGCACCCCCGACAGACGGAGGACAGGCAGGGTCAGAGACCAGAGCGGTGGCGTAGTCAAGGCGGCGGGTAGAGGCGAAGTCAGTGACAGCAGCGACAAGAGCGTCGAGGCACGAGGTCGGAACAGACGGGTCGGTAACGAGAGAGGCAAGGACCCGAGAACCTGGGAGACCAAGGACAAGACCGTGCTGGGACATGTGACGCAGACGCGGGAGCGCAGGGTGACCTAGGCGGTGGTGCCAAAGGAGAGTCGGGTGAGTGAGTGACCGACAGGAGCAGGCAGCAGCAACCTGGGTAGACGCAGCCACCTGAGGGGGCGCCCGAGCCGGGGGGGTCACGGTGTCCAGAGTGAACAGGCCGGACACCGGGTCCCGGGGGAACGTGGACAGGGGGGCACCAGTGGCGGCCTCGGTACAGACAGCATACCGCTCGTGACCAGGGAACGTAGTGGTGACGCCAAGGTCCTGGAGGCAGCCGACACCAACTAGGTTCCTGGAGAACGAGGGGATATGCAGAGCTGTGAGAGAGCCCGAAGGAACCGCCGGACAGGGAAGGGTGGTGGAACTGCGGGCGACTACCGGACCACCAGAGGGGTCAGCAAGAGAAACGGCAGCAGGAACAGGAAGCGGCGTCAGGGTGGTGGAGTCGCGGAAGAAACACCGAGAAGCGCCAGAGTCCAAGGTGAAGGAAAGCGAAGCAGAGGCGTCTGGCGACGGAACGACGGCGGAAGCACCAAGACTACACAAAGCAGAGGATCCTACGCCTGACGCAGCAGGGGAGGCTAAGCTAGGCACACCTACACTAGGCAACAGTGAGTAATAAGCTGGAAGCACACTAGAGTCATCAGCATACATCAGATGCAGAGCAGAAACAATGGCATCCATGTCCATATCAAAGATCTGAATCTTACGACTAAGCAAACTGTGCTTGTCCGGGAGGTCTGGCGACGGGCCGAAACGCTGACGAAAGAGGTCGTCCAGGCGACGAAAACAGCGGGGAGTGGAGTGACCGATCTTACCGCAAACGAAGCCGCGGCAAGGACCGGTCTGGATCTGGTACTGACAACGCCCGCCGCCGGAGCCACCACTCGGCACACCACCACGCGCCCGGCCACCGCCAGCGCCGGGCCACCCGGGCGGGAGGACACTCGTCTGCCGCGTCTGCGACGGCTGCTGCGGCTGCTGCGAAGGCTGCGACTGCGGCGGCTGCTGCGGCTGCTGCAACTGCAGGGGCGGCGGCTCAGCTGGACTGGGCAGGGTCCCCTCGTCCGCTCCAGCACCAGACGACCCGACCCCACCACTACTGTCACAGGATCGAATGTGTCGAGGAAAGGTTGCACTATCGATCAGTACAAGGCGCTTTTATACTTCCAGAGTACATCAGGTAACCAGGTTTATCTTATCCTAAGGGAATAGACCCTTCTAGAAGATAGAATCACCCTGCGTATAGCCACGCGAGGCTATTGGCTTTAAGGGATTACAGCAGGATTACGCTAGATAGAGCGCACCAATACATCCCAAGCCTGGTCGGTGATATAATGATAATAGCAGGATAAACCAAAGGTTAATGGAAAAGGAAGAATAGGAAACCAAATGAGATGCGGTAAAAGGAGAAATGAAAAGGGAAGGAAAGAAGAAAAGGCCAAGTGGTGTAACGGGGTCGTACTCTCACACTTCCCCCCCTCAAAGCTGGGTGGTAGAAGTAACACCCTGCTTGACAAGGTAGTCATGCAGAGGACGACGGGCGTTACCCATGTCGGACTCAGGTACCCAGCTATCCTCAGAAGGATCATAACCCTTCCAACGGATAAGAAGCTCCACGGTGCCATTCCGACGACGACGATGTGCAAGCACGGACTCGACCTCGTACTCGGGTTCGTTCTGGACGAGGACGGGCGGCGGCGGCGGCGGCTGACGTCCCACGAAGATCGTGTTAGAATCTCGATAGGGCTTCAAAAGTTGGACGTGGAAGGCGTTGTGAATCTTCCAGGTAGCTGGCAGGCGTAAGCGGAAGGTAACAGGAGTGACCTGTGCTTCAACGAGAAAAGGCCCGCAGAAGCGAGGTCGAAGTTTAGATGGGAGGTGGCTGATGTCCAGGTTGCGGGTGTCAAGAAGCACCTGGTCTCCCTCGGAAATGGTGTGGTCATTGCGGTGGCGATCGGCCTGGCGCTTCTGTTGCTGTTGAATGTCAAGGAGGCGCTTATGGGTCCGATCCCAAAGTTGATGCATGGTTGTAATGAAATCATGTGCGGGTTGGACTGTAGGTGATGCTGTCGGTTTTTGTGGTGTGAGTGGGTGGCGTCCGTAGCAGAGGAAGAACGACGTCTGTCCAGTAGCGGCATGTGTGGCATTGTTGTAAGCAAACTCGAGTACGGGCAGGTGCAAGTCCCATTTGGAGATGTCGTCCTTGCAGGCTGCTCGGAGGAGTTGCTCAACAATTTGGTTGAGGCGCTCGGTCTGTCCGTCTGTCTGCGGATGGTATGCGGATGACATGGCG